GTAAGGGAAGGGTGAACATTACTATTGAGGGGGTGGGGGACGAGGGGGTTGGCTACACGTTGAAGCCACAAGTAAAGGTGAGTTGAGGGTGAGTGAAGGTGGGCGCCCTGAGTTCCTCCAAGCTCTCCAGGGACGCATTTGATCCCATTCGATTTTATTGACGCTCTGTAAAAGCGCCATTTGTCGCAGCGCCCAGTTTATGTAGGTCTTTTTCTCTCGGTAGTTTATTGCTAGTTAGCACCTATTCTAGAGCCCTATTAAGTGATAATTGTGTATTCCAAATTATATTGGAAAAGGGAACTGATAAGAGAGGAAAAAGGCGTTTCTTGGTGTTCGGATCACACCCGTACCTAGTGGAAGTGCATAAGAGGAGCGAAAGTGATTGAAAGTACCCCGATGGGCTCCAAAAATGGCATCATAGTGAGCCCATCTCTCCTTCACACTTGTCATTCCGGGTTCCGGCCAAACTTGACCCTTTTTCAAAAGAGAACGATCTTCATAAGGGCCATGCTCATGCTCACTAAGAGATATGAATTCGGACTGAAATCAGATCTGGAACCCCAGATTCAGGCCTAGACAATTTTACATGGTAAAGGTCCCGTGGGGAATGTGGTCTCATAGAAGAGGACCACCTTTGCTTCCCCGGAGCCTACGATTTGTTTAGGAGTAGCAAGAATTACTCTAGGAAGAGTTGGATCTAATAAAAAGGGAATGGAATCGAAAATGGGGATCCCAGAGAAGAGGTGGAGGGGGGAGGGGACCTTCGAATCCCTTGTAACGTACCCGTTGTTGCAACCCATTGAAAACTCTTTCAAACCTGTTCATTTGCATGGGCTCTTCTTCTATAGAAATGTTACTGCAAAGTAAATAAATGCTCAACGATTCGTGACATCTCCTGAACTTGCTATTTCCTTTCCCTTGAAAACACTACTTTGAAAAAACGCACACAGTACTCTCTTGAAGTACACAAAACTCGAGTGAACCTCTTTCGATCATCTTGAGTACACATACTTGCTAATGTTGTGAGTAATGTACATTTCCCACTCACTAACCCCAATCGCCCCTCAATGTCTCTGTTTGCCCTTATTTGGGTATTCTGTACGGGATTGTGTGTACATAGCACGCGAAAGCTATGCCTCGTGAAGTGGTATCAGTTACTGCCAACGCAATTGCGAGTTAAAAGATCTGGCTAGACCTACGAAGGGTACCCCAAACTGGTTCGAATCTTTGGGAGAACTTTGAACTCTTAGAAGGATGACGAATTCCCCTGACACCTGACTCCTCGACGAACGGCCTTCAGTGAGGATTAACCTTGAGTCATTGACTTGAGCCGGAGGTTTTTTCGTCGTGCTATTGCATCGCTAGCGGAAGTGGTACTTTGGCAATGGGCCAAAATGTTCCGAGACGAATTCATCGTTAATGTAATGGCATCCCGGTGCAGCAGTACATTAATATATAATATAACATTACAGCTCATGTAGACGGCAGTTATCAGGAATTTAAAAGGGAATGGCTAGCTGTCACCGGAACCGTTCCTTCTCAGAAGGCATAACTTTGTTTTTACTGCCTTAGAACTCTTTGACGACCTCTCTGGCTATCTAGATTGGAAATCTGAAACGCCCTGAGTGTGACCGTCAAGAAACATCCCAGAGGAGACCGATTGCTGTCGGGTTACGTACGAGCAGTCGTATGACAAAACTAATAGTCTTCTAAAAAACTTCATTTGAAATTTCCAGAGGCAAAAGAGGCTCTATTACCTCTGAATAAGCACGGGGATCAGTTATTGTCGTCAGCTCATCATAGCTTCATAGCCTCTAGAATCCGTTGGTTAGTAGGAACTTGTCTATAAGGGTAACGGGCCCATTAGGCGTGCAGCTCTTCGTGCAGACCCAACCCAAACCTCCTGCAAAATCCCTTGCAATTCTGAGTAGGTTTCGTGTATGAGTGGCTCAAAAACGCAGAGACTCCGCATCGTCGCAGTTTTCGCTTTCATTCTACTTGCCATCAGTATCAAACCTACTCATACTTAATGTGAGAGCAGTACAGCTCTTGGCATAAATCAAAGGTATGCCCTTGCTTTGATAATCCACTACCAGCAAGTATGGGAGCTGTCACTGCTAAACGGCGAATCATATGGATAAGTTCACAGAGGAAAAATGTATGAAAAGACAAAGCAGGCTCGATTACTTCGAAATACTGTAGTCCAACAGCATTGAGTTCAGTCGGTGGATCAGCTGGTGACATTAACTTTTTCTAAGACGATAAACAGCGTGGGAGAAACTCGTTTGCTGAAAAGCGTGAAAATGTGAGAAAGCACATATCGACAGTGATGGTAAACTGTATTCACAGAAATATACCGAAAAAGTCTTCTGGCATCCAGTAATCTCATTTCGGTGCATTCCGATGAATTTGGCTTTCATTTAGTTTTGCAGCGTGATTTGCAAGCGTACTTCTTTTGGGTACAAAACAATTTTCTGCTCATTACCCTGTTGAAAGAGGCTGCTACCATTACTAGACTACGGGGAAGGGCTCGATCCATAGACGTTCTAAACGATGTGATCGAGCCGTTTCCTAAAAGAAGAGAAATTCGGCTTGTCCTGGATGATTCAGTTCCCCGAACCGTGGATGTTATATTAATGTTTACTGGCATTTTCCCACTACCGCTTCTTGAGTATGGGTTTTGTGGGGTCAAATGTTGAGTTCAGGAACAAAGCAAGGGGCGGATACCTTAGCTTTGGTGTTGCTCTAGTTAACCTTCTCAGTACCGATTCCCTCGAAGACGCTTGTTAATCAAACTTCTTGACGAATGCATGGCACATCCTAACAAACAGCTTGGCTCTTGTTCCCTTCACGCTTTTTCGTTCACTCTCACCCATTTTATTTTCTTCAAATATTCCTATTAAAATATTGATCGTTGAAATGGACGGTAGTTCTGGGCCCGTTGCGAAAATGTTCGAAATGTTTGCACAGCGATTCAGTGATTGCGTATTTCGGCATTTTTCAACGTTTGCCGCCTTTCTGCTGGTGCAGAGAGCGATTATAAACTTTTTTGTGGAAGTGTAGGACATGATAAGGAGGCAACGAGGTTCGAAAACGGGTACGAAAAGGAATGAGGAGCGGTTAGAAATTTCCGAAGATTAATCCTTGTTAGGTTTATGTGGTAGAAAAGAATAATTCCCAATTGGCAGAATTGAGTTCACTCCACTTTATAAAGCCTTTTTTCATAGGCATTTAATGGCCAGATTATCTAGGGAATGGAAAATATGATCTGGGCTTTGGCCGACTATTCCACGCAGGACTTAACGCCTCGCCTCCAAAAGAATCAAGGATTCGTGGAGCTTTCTTGGAGATCATCCCATCCTTTATAAGGTTCTTGA